TCTGTGTTTGTCCTGTTTCGTTACCAAACTATGTGGAAAAATAGCTGCATAAATACAGCAGACCAATGAACTGATCCCACTGCAATGTTTTTGTATGTGATATTAAAAAGTTTCAACTTCAACGAATCCAATCAGAGCAAGAATGTAAACATGCAGTTGCAATCGGCTGGTTTCTGAAGGTTACAATAACATCTTGTATTTGTCACAGTGAGTGAACACATAAATATTTAAGTAAAGAATAAAATGGTATAAAAGCAGAGGCTGTAGTGCACCACAGTCACTGCAAGCAGGGCGTGGACGAGTAGGGGAGTGAAGCATCAGCCACCTCCACGTCAACAATATTCTTTAACAGCAGCACAAAAACTACACACATGGTTTGAGGAAGGGGCCACGCTGTTGACCCTTTTTCGAAACTTCCTAGATCTTGCTTGCACCTGGATGAGCCTGATCCATGAAGCACCAAGCTGCTTCCTAAAGGACCCAAAGATCTGCTCCCAGTGTGCCGGAAACGAACAGTAAAGGTGATCCAACATGTGACCTACTGAGCAGGGCAGAAGTGAAGAACTGATACTCGTCCTCTCCATTGTCGTAGTCCAGAGGCGTGCTGTACTCCTCCAGAGGCGTTCCCTCAAAACCATCGTCATCCCAATAGTCATCTTCATCGTCGTCGTCATCATCGCCTCCTGGGCCTGCTGGCATGCTGGACTGCTGCTGCATGGTGTTACAATTCTCATTCACCTCATCTTCATCACTGGGAATCTCCTCTGGCGTAAACACAAACACAGACATTCAGAGTGAGGTACCAGGATGTAAAGAGAAGTTGTTTCCAGCGTACAGTTTGATTTGGGGAGCGGCTCACAAACTAGTGCTGGCCCAGAAGAGGGGAGTCGCTATAGGTGGGTCGTGGTCAACAGACCAACTGCTTATGGTTCTGACACCAAAGCAACTTTGTGAACAGAAGAGTTTTCCTATGTGAAAGAACACCACAACATCTTTTTGTGAGGGTGTAATGTAACCTTTAGTCTTTAGCTATTACAAAATTACAGTCTAGGCAGGTAGGAAACCTGATAAATGTCACGGTCCTGGGTCAGTGATCCAGTGTTTTGAGTTTCTTGTGCCTCTGAGTTTTTTGTATTATGTTCTTAGTTCACTTTGTTGTCCCAGCTTATTCTTTAGTGCCTTAGTTTGGTTTTCTTGTATTCTGTTTAGTTCTCTGAGTATTTAGTAGCTGCCCTCTGTGTCTCTTTGTTGGTATTGTCTGTGTTTCTTAGTTGCTCTGTCTCCCCTAGTCTAGTTTGCGTCTTCCTGTTTTACTTTGAAGGTCCGTGTCTCATGTGAGTGTATCCTACTTTGCTCCCTGTCTCGTCAGTTCTGATTTCCCCCAGCTGTGTTCTCCTTCTGTGTCTCCTTCCCCTCATTACTTCCCAGTGTATTTAAACCCTGTGTTTCTCTGAGTCAGTGTTGTGTCATCCCTCTTGCTGTGTGGATCTCCCTGTGAGTTTTAGTTCATTGTTTCCCAGTTTAGCTTAGTTTACTTTGTATGCTCGTTTTTCTGTGACCAGCAAATAAAGCTGTGATTTTGAGTTCATCCCCTGAGTCTGAGTCCTGCACTTTGAGTCCTCATCTCCTGCCTGCCACACAGCGTTTCATGACAGTAACACAGTGCAGTCTAATGAGACA